CCCTCCTCCCTCCTCCCTCCTCCCTCCTCCCTCCTCCCTCCTCCCTCCTCCCTCCTCCCTCCTCCCTCCTCCCTCCTCCCTCCTCCCCTCCTCCCCTCCTCCCCTCCTCCCCTCCTCCCCTCTCCCTCTCCCTCCACACACACACACACACTCTCTCTCCCTCTCCCTCTCACTCACACACACTCACACTCACACACACTCACACACATGCACATGCACAGCTCTGCGCGCGTGCAGGAGGTGACGGGTTTCCTGCAGACGGCGGCGGCGAATCTGACATCCAATATGAACGTCGACTATCAGGCCGGCGCTGATATCCCACCAGGTATGACGTGTGCACACACACACACACAATCGTTGGGCATGTGTTGACAGCGAGCGCTTGTACGTGTCTTCCTCCCCATTCCCTTTCGTCGGCGTGTGGCCTCATCATCTCATAGTCTGAACCAACAACAACCAACAACCCACAACAACCAACAACCACCAACAACGACAACGTAAACAACAACGACGACGCCGCCGCCGTCACTGCTTACGCTCCGCTGTCCGTTGCCGCTGCCAGCGTCACTGCGGATGATTCTTCATGAGTTTCGAAACGAAACGAAACGGGAGGAGTTTGGGGGCGTCTTCATCACAGACCACCCGGCATCCGGCTTTACAAACTCGTAGGTTACGTTTCATCATGTTCTGCTCCGTGCCCTTGCTCCTCATGACACATGCCATTGCATGAAGTTGCACACACTCACATGACTCAACTACCTGCCGCGTATTGTGCACGTGTGCGTGCGGTGATTGCAGGTTTTATCACAGCCGATTGGACAATGCCGACTACATTGACGCGTCATCAAACGCCACCGTGGTACGCCGACGTTCAAACACGTGATTGCATTGCTCAACCTGACTGGCTACATTTCCATGCGCACACGCACGCACACACTTGCATCCTTGTGTGGTCCCTCGATCGCCCACCCCCTATTGCTCGCCTCTTATGGACGTACCCCCCCCCCCCCCGTCGCCTCCACCCCTTGCAGGAGAAGCTGTGCAACGTGTCGTCGGTGCTGGCCAAGTCGCTGTGGTCGATGGCGTTTGAGACAGAGCCGCCAATGCCGCTCCAGCAGGCAGACTGCGACTTTGTGCGTTTGGCAGCCATGGTCGAGAGAGCGAGGAATTGACCGCGTACAGTGTGCTGTTTGCCACGTGAAAATGTCGTGTATTGACAATGCTTGCATCTCTGGTGTGCCTCCCAAGCACATAGGCTCACTCACTGAATACACGCACACATGCACACAAACAAACACACACACACTCGCTCACTCACACAACACGCACACAAACACAACTGCTCCGCTGCAGGTGCGTGAGCTGCTGTATTGCATCACGGTCGACCAGACGTGTCAGCTGGTGAAGGATTCCGTTAACGTCATTGAGAACACGCCCTCGCCCATTTCCCGTTATGTCGGCGTGAAACCAACAGCAGGAACTCTCACCAGGGTGCGTCTCTCTCGCCTGGTTTTTCGTTGTAGTTGTGTCTGCACAAACACTGCGTGTGTGTGTGTGTGTTTGCATGTGTGTGTGTGTGTGTGTGGTGTGTGTTTGCATGTGTATGTGTGCGTGCGTGCGTGTTTGGGCATGCCCCATCACGTCGGCTCACGCCGCACCATGGCTCACTCGTTTGCGTGTCTCCCTTTCCCACCTGCACACGCTGTCGTGGTGTGCAGCCTGTTGGCTTCTTCTTCAACCAACTCGCTGCCGCCATTGCCGTGGATCGCAACGTCACTTACAACAGCACCGACGGCTGCACCGCAAACGGGGTAAGCACTCAAGTTGGTGCGGAATACGCGAATTTGGTTGGGGACATTGGATACGAACGTGTCGTGTCGCTTTGCTCACTGTTCTGCCATTCCCTTGCTGGGCTTGTTTTCGTTCCCTCAGCCTCACACACACACACACGCACACACACACACACTCACACACACACACACACACACACACACACACACACACACACACACACACACACACACACACACACACACACACACACACGCACGCACACACACACGTACACAAACAGCGTGCGCCGGACTATCAGCGGATTCGGTGGCGCGGTACGGATGTGTGCTACCTGAGCGCAACCTTCACGCACCTTGCGTGGTCGCCTGCGTTTGACGGGTACTACAGCCTCAAGCCCCTCGGCACTCCCTCCTTCGACTACCGCGATGGCAGAGACCCAAGGTGCGCACACACGTGCATGCCCGTGGTGGCGCTAGTCTCACTGCAGCGACGCGGATGTGTTTCAGTAGTACATTGAGGGGGGGGGGTCGTTTTGCTCCATATTGTCCATTCAACCTCCCTTGTCGCCGTCAACCTTACGGCTTCCACCCTCCTTTGTGTTGTTGTTGCTGTTACTGTTGCTGCTGCTGTTCGCGACTGACAGGTGGTCGACATGGACAGAGTCCACGTGGGACCCGATCAAGGGCCGCCTGTTCTTCGTCGATGCGCCACACGCGGAGGTGGGCTATGACGGCGGTGGTGACTGCAGTGGCTGCGTGCACGTGCTTGTGGTTGGCTCGTGGTTGTCTGTCATGTTTGCGGTGGATGGTGCGAATGGGCACCAAGGTGGTTCTGTCCCCTTGTCTCCAACGTGCCCTGTTCTCTGGTGTGGGATTCTCACTCAACACCTCATTGCTGGCACCATGATGTTGTTTGTCGTTGTGCTTTTGTATGTGTGTAGCTTGGCACGGTGCTTGGCGGGCTGGCCTGGTTCTTCCTATCCCTGGGCATCGTGTACTACCTCAGCACCCACATCACCTACGACTCGCACTCCTTGCTTGACCCAGATGGCAACTGATGCCCGTGCCAGTGCTTGCGTTGCTGTGTTGTTGTGCGTGTGTGCGTGTGCGTGTGTGCTTGCGTTGCTGTGTTGTTGTGCGTGTGTGTGTGTCTGTGTGTGTGTGCGTGTCTGTGTGTGTGTGTGTGTCTGTCTGTTTCTCTCTGCTGTGGTTCTTCTCAAGGAAATTTTGCCTTTGTTCCGACCATTTCGCAAAGTCAATTTTGACATTGGCGTCTGTTAGCAACAATCAGCGCATACACCACCGCGCAGCCGAACAACAAAGAAGAACACCAAAGACAACACACCTCCCACCACACACCTACCTCTTCATCTGTTGTCTCTGTTGTCTCTGCTGGTGGTCACGATGGCGAGCAAGACTCGCACCGTGACGGTGAAGAAGCCTACGGGCGCACGCCGCTTTGATGCTGTGTACGACAAGGACTACTATGTCTCCGGCGAACGCGATCACACCCGCGCCATGACCCAGGCCATGACGCGCGATGCACCAACGGTTCGTGTGTGTGTGTGTCTGTGTGTGTGTGTGTGTGTTGATGCGAGGGCACGCTTGCGTGCTTGTGCACACGTGTGGGTGTGTGATTGTGTGTGTTCTCTTAAATTGCAGTGAAGCACAAAGCCATGTGCATGCTGGCTGAACAATTGCATGTGCTATGAATGAACGGATGTTACCTTGTGCAGGAACCCGTACCAGACTCGCAGAACATGTTCAGCGATCTGCGACACTTTCCACGCTCAACCGTGAAGGTGGGGCACCAGCAGGCGCTCCCAGAGTTCGTTGACACGCAGCATCAAACCGAAACAAGGTAACAAACAATCGTGTTCGCGGAGGTGAACGTGCAGCGCTTCCCCCTGTCATTGTTGGTGCGAGTGCTGTTCTTTCTCACATGATACTTGGCACGTGCTGCTACCGTTGTTGTTACTTCTGCTTCTGTTGTTGCTGCTGCTGTTGTGGTTGTGCAGGGCGATGCAAGCGCAGGCAGACTACGAGCAGGCGCAGCCGCGCGGGCGTGACCTTTTCAAGTATGCGCACCAACCGCTCACCCCCGTGACGTCGGCCTTCATGGACTTCAACCCGCTTCTTCGCCTGGACGAAGGCAGCTCATCCGCCGAGCAGTTGCCGCGAGAACTCCCACCCGGCACCATGGTCACCACCGCCACACAGACAGACTACAGGTGTGTTTGAACGTGTGAATGTGTGAATGTGTGGGTGTTGGATTTGTACGTGTGTGTGTGTGTGTGTGTGTGTGTGTGTGTGTGTGTGTGTGTGTGTGTGTGTGGGTGGGTGGGTGGGTGTGTGGGTGTGTGGGTGTGTGGGTGTGTGTGTTGGATTTGTACGTGTGTGTGTGTGTTTGAACGTGTACATATGTGGGTGTTGGAGTTGAACGTGTACATATGTGGGTGTTAGATTTGTACACGTGTGTGTGTGTGTGTGCACGTACATGCGTGCGCACATATGTATGTATGCGTGTGTGACTTTTCACTTGCGCCTCCTCCCCTTCTTGTTGCTGTCGATTGATGTTGTTGAGAGTCCAACGCTGAATTCTACCCGTAAAGCATGCATGCATGCATGCATGCATTGTCTAGCGTCTCATACCATCCACTGTGTGATCACCGTCATCATTGTCACTGTCGTCGTGATTGCTGTCACTGTCGTCGTGATTTCTGCCGCTGTCATCGTACTACAGGGAGTCTGCAACACAGACAGACCCGTACACGCCCGAGTACACCGTGCGGCCAGGGTCAGCACCAGAAGTGCTCACGCTCGCAACACTCTCCTACGGTGTGTCATCCACTGCACAGTGTTGAGCCATGCGCTTTGCTGAAGGGGGCGGAGGCTTCCTCCTCATTCATGTTTGTTTACATGCACACAGACAGAGACAGAACCAGATGCCATCTTATTTTCTTACCCATATTGCATCCAATGTTCACAAACACACAAACACAAACACACACACACACATGCCTGCTGCGTGATTGGGCGCAGGCTACGGGCTGCCTGCTGGCCTGGCTGAGGTTGAGATGATTGAGCGAGCGCGGGAGCGGCGGGCGTGGGAGAGTCAGCTGCCGCCGGCTGACGACGCATATCGCTCCGTTGAGCGCGCACGTGCCATGGAGGAGCAGGAACTCCGCGAATGGAAACACAGGGAGGACCAGATTCAACAGATTCAGGTGCGTGTATGTCTGTGTTTGGTCTTTGAGTGTGTGTGTGTGTGTGTGTGTGTGTGTGTGTGTGCGCGCGCGTGTGTGTGTGCCTGTCTGTCTGTGTCTGCACTTTGCGTGCAGATACAGAAGAGAGTGCTGCGTGATACCACCCAAAGAAACGTGAGCAACACGCCTCACGCTGTGTCTGCGCCACCACCGCCACCTCTGTCGATAGGACGAGCGACTGCAGCTGCTGCAACAGCTGGTCGTAGAGCTGCAGGAGAAGAAGCAAATGGCCCAGGAGTAAGTCAACCCCCGCGCCAGACGGCAGATGCTTTGTATTCTTGGCATGCTGCTGACGTATTCTTGACCCTCTTTGATCGCTGTTGGCATTTTCCTTCTTGTTGCCGCTCGACTTTGTCCTTCCCTCCTCTACAACACAAACGAACGCACACACACTCACTCCCTCAAACGCACACACGCACACGCACGCGCGCACCCACTCACTCCCTCACTCAAACGCGCGCGCACACACACACACACACTCACTCACTCACACACACACACACACGCTCTCTCTCTCTCTCTCTCTCTCTCTCTCTCTCTCTCTCTCTCTCTCTCTCTCTCTCTCTCTCTCTCTCTCCTCTCACACCACCACACCACCACGACGACGACGGCAGCGAGAAGCTTGAGAAGGCGTACCAGCAGCGGCAGGCGGCGCTGGATCGCCGGCGCGCAAAGGCCGAGCTCGAGGGCGTCATGCGCTTGAGGAAACTCGCACGCACACGCAGAAACGTCGAGGTACGCCATGGTGATGGTGATGGTGGTGGTATTGGTATTGGTATTGGTATTGATGAGTGAGTGGCATGAACGTATCCATTAACACCAAGCGCGCGCACTCACACACACTCACACACTCACACGCACTCACACGCACACACACTCTCTCTGCATGCATGCATGCACACCTCAACACCCCCCACCCCCACCCCGCCCCGACTCTCACCCGCTCAAACGCTCTGTACATGTGCAACCACACCACAACAGCACTCTCGGGAGCGGCGCAACATCGTGCGCGAGTATGCGGACACGGGCTCCCAGACGTTTGCACCTGCTGCCCGCACGGGCGCGGCTGCACGCATTGCTGCTCAGCGCAAGGCGCCGGTGCGTCCAAGGCAGTTGGGGTCATATGACGCCATTGTGGACCTTGAGGCGAACCTCCCCCGCGCAATCACCACACCACGCATCCGCACAGGATCAAGCAAGCGGCAGCACGTGCGTGTGTGTGTGTGTGTGTGTGTGTGTGTGTGTATGTGTGTGTGTGTGTGTGTATGTGTGTGTGTGTGTGTGTGTGTGTGTGTGTGTGTGTCGGGAGTTGAATGGGCATTGGACGTGGCTGTGGTTGATGTTGATGTGAAAGACAGCAGTTACTGCAAGGGTGGCTGAAAGATTCCTTTGCAATTCACGTCTCTTACCCGCGCTCACGCTTGGGTTGCTTGGTTGGGTTGTCACAGGGAAAGAGTGCCAATGCCCGCGCGAAGCTGAAGCAGACGTTGGAGCGCCTGGACGAAACGTTTAGCATGCAGCGCCAGGGCACCCTGCCTGTCCTTCCACCCATTCGCTCCATTGAGAAGGTCGAGAAGCCCAAGGAACGCCCACCAACGCCGGAAGTGAACGCGCCATGCGAGGCAGACCAGCGCAAGGAGCAGGCGGTGATGCTGCTGCAGAGCCTGATCCGCGGCCGTGCTGCCCAGAACGAGATGTACGAGGGCAAGGAGCGGCGGCGCGACATGATCACGGAACTGCGCACCACACACGCGCTGTCCAAAGCCCAGCAGGAGATCAAGGAGAAGGAGAAGCAGGACGCCCTCAAGCTCCGCGAGCGCCAGGTATTCCAAACACATGACATTGACGTGCTGGTGTGTGTGTGTGTGTGGTGTGTGTGCGTGCATGTTGTGCTTGTGTGTGCGTGCGTGCCTCGAGTATTTGCTGCCATTTGTGCCATTGTCTCGCATTTCAGTGAGCGGCCACCATTCCATCCACTTGTACGCCTTCTGACAACCCAACTCAACTCCTACCACCACCACCACCACCACCACGATGCCAGGCTGTGGAGCGGCGGCGGCGGCAGCTGCTTGACTGGGTGGTGACAGACGTGCAGGCGGAGCAAGTTGGCGGCACCATTGATTTCCTCAGCAAGGAGCTCGTCAGGCTGCAGGTGTGATCCCGCAAAAGTTCAACTGTAGTGGTTTGTGCCATGACCCATCGCGAGGCCAACCTGCGCCCCTTGCTCCCCCTAAACATTCACACACACACACATTCACACACACGCAAACCCCCCCCCCCCCCACACACACACACACCACAGGAGGAGCGGCGTGTGCACGCGTTTGCGATGTTGGCTGAGCGGGAGCGGCGGCTGCGAGAGGCGGAGGAGGCCGGACGACGGCAGCAGGAGGAGAAGCAGCGCGCACTCAACGACGAAGTGTTTCGGCAGGTCATGGACG